TATTGAAGCGCTGGGGGTACTGGAGGGGCAGTACTGGGGGCACTGGAGGGCAGTAGGGCAGTGCCGGAAAGGATTCCAATACCCCCCCAGTGCCCTGGGGAGGAAGGGCTGAGGCGGGTGATGTAGGGAAAACACAGCGGCATGGGGGAGGACCCTGCAGCGGGGAGCGGGATCCCCGTCGGAGGTAGACACCACGTCCCAGCGGGAGCACCCCAATCCATCACACACACACCCCGGGGCTCCCCACTGCAGGGGAGCAGACAATGTAGCAGCTGGAGGGGTCTGCAGTGCCAGAGGAACAGGGCTGGGGAGCAGGCTGCCATGCTTGGGCCAGGGGGGCATGGGGAGGGCTGCAGGGCAGGGAGGGCTGCCAGGGCCGGGGGGGGGAGGAACAGACAGCGAGGCTAGCAGGCCAGTGTGCTGCTTCCTTGTCTGGGAGGACGTGGCCGGCCGACAGGAGCCGGAGCAGGGGAGGGGAAGAGCACCCGAGATCCTTTTGCTGCGATGCTGCGTGCTGTGGCAGCCAAGATAGATGCAGGCGTCTTTGTAGGGAGAGCAGCGCTGAATAGAGACGCCGCTGAGAAGCCGAGCAGGCCCCTGATGCTGATGTTGTCATCTGTGTCTCTGTTATGTATTATTTCCAGCTGATTGGTAAAGATGGAAAGGGGGAGAGGAGGAGGAGGAGGAGGAAGGAACCTGGGGAGCTCTGGCCTGCACAGGAGCATTTATTCCCAGTCCCAGCAGCAGTACCATTACCCGGCCTCCTCCCAGGGGGGCTGCATGGAGATCCAGGAGCTGGCCTCCAAGAGGGTGGACATCCAGAAGAAGCGATTTTATCTGGATGTGAAACAGAGCTCCCGAGGCCGCTTCCTGAAGATTGCTGAGGTCTGGATAGGAAGAGGCAGGCAGGACAATATCAGGAAAAGCAAACTGACCCTCTCCTTGTCTGTGGCCGCTGAGCTGAAGGACTGCCTGGGGGACTTCATTGAGCACTATGCCCACCTAGGCCTGAAAGGCGGCCATGGTCACCGGCACGAGCACAGCAATGGCAAAGAACAGCATCCCCGGAGACGACAGCAGCACCCGCCACCTTCACCTCCAATGTCTGTCGGCTCTGAAGAGCACCCTCACAGCGTCCTCAAAACAGAGTACATCGAGAGGGACAACAGAAAGTATTACCTGGACCTGAAGGAAAATCAGCGGGGGCGCTTCTTGCGGATTAGACAAACCATGAGTAGGGGACCTGGCATGATGGGTTATTTTGGCCACAGCTTGGGACAGGAGCAGACAATTGTTCTTCCAGCGCAAGGGATGATTGAGTTCAGGGATGCTTTGGTCCAGCTGATCGAAGAATACGGTGATGGGGACATAGAGGATCGCCGGGGGGCAGATGACGAGCCCCCGGAGCTCCCAGAGGGCACCTCCTTTCGAGTGGACAACAAGCGCTTCTACTTCGACGTGGGATCCAACAGGTACGGCATTTTCCTGAAGGTAAGTGAGGTGAGGCCGCCCTACCGTAACACCATCACGGTTCCATACAAAGCATGGACACGGTTTGGGGAAAATTTTATCAAGTACGAAGAAGAGATGAGGAGAATTTACAACAGCCATAAAGAAAAAAGAATGGATGCCAGAGGGGACAGTGGTGAAGAGCAAGAGGGTCTCGAATAGAGTGCATTGGACTGGCTGTCTGGCAAAATAAACAAAACAAGTAGAAATTGGTGAGAGGGACTGACCTATAGTAATTTCAAGTTGCCCCATTTTTTTGTAAAGTCCTTTTCTGGTAGTTCTTGCTAACTCCAATCTGTAATGCTATAGGAGTCTGGTTATCATGTTAAATTATGCCCAAAACATCTCCGTATGTCTTTTGAAAGTACCAACCTCCCGAGTCCGTATGAGTCAGCTGCTTCGAGTGTTGAAGACTATGGAAGTACACGTATCAGCACAAAAAAAAATCCAGCACTCTGACCTTTAAATAGTCTAGATAAGGCTTGTGTTGCACTTCAACGTGATACAGAAAAAGCAACCCAAACCTTATGCTGAAATGTATCAGTTTCTGCTTATGATGGGTTTTCCAGGACTGAATTCTACCTGTACTTGGTCAAAAGGCTGAGCAGCATAGCTCTAGGGCATTTATGACAAAAAATCAACTTCATGTGAATTGCTGGTATGTGTATGAGGAGAGGTAGAGGTTTTAAAATTGGCATCTGCTGGTTACTGAGTTTGAAACGATATTCTGTGTGGGTAAAACCTTGATAACTGGTCAGACCTTTATAATGTGCTGGTGAAGAATGGAAGTTTTCTTATTCATTTCATAATTTTGTGCTGACCATATAACCCAAGTATCCCAGAATATATCAAAGCTCTACTCGAGTGCTAAGCCTTCTGAGTTAATAGTAATGAATATCCCACTCCTCATCTATGTGTTCTGCCCATGTGAGGCTGGTGATTTTTTTTTTTTTATAATGCATTTGTCCATAATTTCCAAAGGTATTTTTATATTAGGGGCGTTATGGGTTCCAGCAGGCAGCTGTGGAGCGGGTATTTGGAGGTGGAGGGACCACCACAACCAATGCTCCCAGCTTCTCTCCTAGATATGAGATTAATGCGGTTGTGATATTACCCGTGCAAGGAGAACACCTGGGTGTTTTTCTCCTGCTGCGAGAAAGACCTTTGTGGGGTTTGGTGCACCATTAGATATGTATAAAAAGGCATCTGTCTCATACTTACCTGTAGTGCATTTCAGAAACCATGGTTAACACCATGTTGGGTTTTCTGTCATGCTGATTTTACAGGTGGTGTTAGGAGATAGTATCTGTGCCCTGCCATCACCCTTTTCCCACCCACTCAGAACTGGGACTGTCATCAAGCAATTCAATCCCCGAACTCCCCCACCCAGGATTCAGTGTCGTCCTGCTAAAGTCTCTGTAATGTAAATTTTACATCTTGTGATATAAACTCTCTGCCTGGAGGGAAAATGTGTACAATTACCTGTTTCGGAGGTTGGCGAAAGATTTTGAAAATTTTTTGTCATTTCTTAGAACATGAATACTTAAAACATAAGGGGCTTTTCTAGCCTTGGGGCGACCAGCTCCTTCCCCTCTGAAACCAGCGGGAATTTGGTTGAGCTCCAAGTACTTCCAGTAACGTGTTGCCCACCTTTAAGATCTTTTTTTAAGTAGGCATTACTGTGTCTAATCAGATATTTATAATAATTTGAATAGTTTTTTTACAGAGTGGCCTAGTGTGCACGTGAACCAGCTATTTTGCCATACAACCGTTAAATGTTTTGGGGTTTTTTTTAATCTGTTGAGAAATGTATTTATCTCCAACCAGACCGTTCACTGATCTTAGTCTGGACCCACCTGCACGCTGAATGGCCACACTCAAATCAAATGCTATTACCTGTTAACATCATAAACCATAACGAGAAAAGTTGGGGAGGCAGGGGTGGGAACCAAAAGGATAATCTGGACTTTAGTTTGGGTACTAAAACTAGTCAATCTGTTTTAACTTTAAGAAAAAAAAGAAAAAAGAAAAAAAATAAAAGCTTGCACCAAAGTCACCAAAGAACCTTTAGGAAAATGTTACGGTTGTGACAAGAAGTACGAAAGTTAATTTCACTGTTTTAGGTGATTCCCCCTTTAGGTAAAACCACACATAACGGTTACAGCAACGAAGCTTTTGGCTTAGTGTCAAAAACTCCCATCCATTTCTGCGTAGATCATTCTTTTAGGTACTTTTTCAACTCTCGGAGAGATGTTCTCGCTCCACCACACAAACAGTTAGCGGACCATGATGAATCAGCTGGAGGTTAAACATATTGGTTCATCATTGCTCTTAGGGCTTTGGTCCCAATGGTTTTAACAGGTCATCAATTAAAAAGAAAAGCAAAACCAACTTTAAAATAACTATATCCTTTTATTGGTGTGAAACCAGAATTTAGTGAATGAGTCCTTGATGTGTATGTTAGCATATTGCTGACTGCTGCTGCCCGTCACAGTGCCTGGAGTAAAAAATTAACTTATATTCTAACAAACTGGAGCTATGAATGTACAAACTTTTTACACTCTCCTTCCCGTTTCTATGTGGCATTCCTCCCCTACGAGCTTGACATCTCCCAGTCCCAGCCTACCTTTGTCTCAAGGTCTTGTAAAAGCTCCTATGTTGGAATTAGCCCGAGTGACCGCCTGTGTTGTAAGTGATCATGCCTTCCCTGTGTTCCTGTAGCGTTGGTGAGGAAAATACTTGCAACGGGCAAAGTGATTGGAAAGGGATAGTTTCTTCACCGTTTTAAAAGAAAAAAAGATGCAAAATGGCTTTCCTTATTGCTGCCCATTGTTTTAAAAAGAACCTTTATCTTTTGTTAATGAATTGGCCTTCCAATGGCATTCATTTATTGTAAATAACACCCAGGAATTCAGTGTCTGCTGCCTACCAGGTTGGGCTTGGTTCTGGCACACAGGTATCCCATAGGATCCACTAATGCATTTACTCCCCTGATGCGGGATGCACCTTAGTATCCAAAACTGGATGGGGATCATCACGTTCATATCACCCATGGGTAAACCACTAGCCACGGGTTTCCACTGCAGTGGAAAGCACCGATGTTTGCAGATGTTGTCGCTGGAGGGTAATACAGACTCACTCGAAATGTAGCAATGCAAGGCTTTTAATGGTGAGATTTGGAAATGGGTTCCTTGTTATTTTTGGCAGCGCGTCTTCACCTTCCGAGAGTGGCGGTAAGACGGGCTGCTTGCGTGCAAAAGGGCCCATCAAGATGCTCGGGAATGCCGAATCCATAATGCGTTTTAAATGTTCATTCCTGATGCCCTGAAACTGCCATGTCCCTTAAACTTGAGAAAACACAAGCTTATTTGCACTAGAAAGAACGGCCAAAAACAATCCTTAGGAGGACAGGGTGAAGAGCACCATTCTGAACCTCTTTTTTCTCATGAGAGAATTTCCTGTTCAAGCCCTCACCTCTGTTTCAAAATTGTATGGTCCCGGCAGAAAGTCTGTCAGTTCAATAATTAAATCGTAATGCACTTTATATTGTGTAAATAATACTAGGAGCACATTTCTGCTCCCGCTCTGGTAAGGGGATGCTTCGGTAACATAGTCTAATGCTGAAAGAAGTCGTCTCTGCATGCATGTGTCTGTTAGAGACCTATTGTACTTACTTGGTCCAGCTCCGCTTGTATGTTAGAGGAGGACAGGCGCTATATAGAGGATCCTCTCAAACCACGAAGAGTGGGATGATTTTTTTTTTTTTTTTTTAAAGTTGTGATTTGCAGAGCTGCTGAGCATCCTCAGCTCTGCCATTGCTGTGGCTCCTCGTCCCTTCTGCGAATCAGACCCTCAGTGTTGCTGTTGAGGCTTAAACCCAAGCTTTTCACATACAGTCTCAACAAAGTCAAGTCCAGCAGCTCCTTCGTACTTGGCTTTCCCTGATGTTGGTGCAGAAGCTGGGGCAGTCCCTAAAAAGCTTATCCCAGGTGGAAGGGGCTGTGGGGGCTTCCTCTGCCTTGCATCTTGGGGATTTGTTTTGAGTCCAGCCCATTGAGCCGTCCTTCTCTGTAAAGTACGGAGGCAGGGGTGTGCTAATGAAGGGCCAGGAAGTGTTTTGCGCTGGTGTGGTGAGATTAACTCTCCAGGCACTCTGGAGGAGATGGCAAAACCTGCTGTTGCGGGTTCTTCACATCAAGTCTGGATGACAGACTTTATCCAGCAAGAAGCTGCAGCGGTTATTGGTAATCTACTCGTCGTCGTGTTTCTTATCTGTATCCAATATATACAAATTCATATTCACATATAGGCATTAATATATTTATATGAGTATATTGTAGCCTGTGGTAGCTCGTAGCAAAATAATCTTATTTATCTGAAGTACGCAGTCTAAAGAGTGGGCAGTTTTCTCCTACTACCGGTCTGGATAAACACGTTATTTCACCGAGGCCTGATTTTGTGCTGTTCGTCACAGCCCTTGTAAGATTTCTGCTTTTAAGCACTCTCATCTCTTAGGTTTTTGGCAAGGCTGGAAGGGAAAACGTAGTCAAAAGAAGGCAAAACTCTTCCTTGGAGGTGTTGTTGAGGTGAGGTGAGAGCTGTAAAGAGGCAGCTGCAGGTACTGCCAGCCACACTGCATTTCAATGCCATCTTACTGTCCCCTGGCTCTGCAAACCTGTACTACCATGTTAATAAAATCCCAAGTAGGAGTATTAAAAACCTGTCCTTTATACAAAAAAAGCGCAAGTGATTACCAAAATCAATGTCAGCACATTTTTTTTCTGCTAAAGATGTCATAGTCTAATGATTGCATCATTTTTTTCCGTAAACTCACAGAGAAGGGAGTTGGTAGTGGTTAGGAAGCCTACTGCTTACTTGACTTGCAGCCCTTTTATCCAAGTGTAGTAATTTTTATAGCAGAAAAGGGTTTATTATTGTGTATTTTTATTAGGCAGATTTTGCACCAGGTCAAAAATTAATTAATAAGCGGTTCTAGTTCCATGGCGTTCATACTTTTGCTGTACATACCACATATATATATACAATTTATAAAATAATTCTTAAAGAAAATTATATGTTCTGTTTAATTTTCTATGGAACTTCCTCCAAAATTAAAACACGCTTTATTTTTACTTACTTAGCATGTTGTCATGTCTAAAATTCACCTTTCCCCTACCTTTTCAAGTAAAGGTTGTATTTGAAATAAAGAGTTTATCCAAGTAAGAGTGGAAATAAAGGCTACACTTGACATACCATAATCTACTTGCATAAACCCAAGCAAGGCTGTTGCCCCATAGACTTTGCCAAAACAAATCATCCCGCCAGTGTGAACGCTGGCATTGGGGAGCAAAGCTTGTCCAGCATGCCCAAGGTTTCCTGGGAGAGCATGATGCATCCTCATAGATGCCCAGCAGGTTGGGACCATGGACCTTGTCCCCTTGGAGGAACATATTGGCAGTGACTTGAGGTGGCAATAGGTTTAAGCCATCCTCGTACCTGTGGATGATGCCATATACACAAGTTGTTTCCTGGCTGTAGGGCATACTCCGTTGGGCAATGGCTGTATTGTCTTTACATTATTAATGCTGGTGTGGTGATGTCTTCTGTTAACCTCTCTGTCCTTTCACTTTCATCTGGAGTCATTAAAATTTCATCGTGTAGATGCAAAACCAAGCAAATTTAAGTATCTGGAGAAAAAAGATTCACCTGTTGGGCTTTTTTCTCCTCTGTAGAAGTGAAACCTGTGGTTCGTGTGAAGGGTCGCCATTGCCCTCTGCGTCCTACGCACTTGCAGTTCGTTATCACTTTGCCAGTCAGTGCAGCAAAATCATCATGGCTTTTGGGGATGTTTTGGGGTGATCCGGTCTTGCCTAAAAATGTCCGAATTCTGTCATGACAGCAGAAAAAAAACCCTGGCCAGGGGATAAAGTGCTTCTGGACTTGGGTGTTTTGGAAAAAGCTGAAGCCACATCTTTTTCCACTTTGTTTCTCCAAAATCTGAAGGAGCTTTCATGGGCTGACACTGATTCTTCTTCCTAATATTTTGTCATGCCCATGATCACTTCCCCACCTGTACCTCCATAAAGGCAACAGTATTTTAAAGCTTCAAGGTAAAATAAAGTAACATGGATTAAAAATTGCTTTTCCAGAAATGTCAAAGCACAAACTGAAGTTTTAGAAGGTAGGCTTCGTTTTGGCATTTTTCTGATGGTTGTAATTAGATTGTTCCTTCTACATGCTGAGGCATCATGTGAAACATGAACCTGCAGCCTCTGGGCTGTCTTATGTACATTAACTTCTAGAAAGGTGTATGCTGGATGACCTTCTGGCCTTTTCATGCTTGTTGGGCATGTTTTGTGTTGTACTCTATCCCAGAGGTATGGGCCTAGCCTTGAGGTGCCTGGCTACCACCCCAATCAAATTGTCATTTATGGTTTCCCAACTCATCTTCCTAATTGATAGGCTACCTCGCGACGCTTGGAGTGGCACATGGAAATTGCTAGCTCTGTACAGATTATCCACCGTAAATTAAAAAAAAAGACATATTCTGTCTCTTGGATGTTTCAGACCCATCCTACATACTAGTATTCAACGGGGCAAGATAATGGCTCCTGCCTTGGAGTTGTTAGTTGGAGATGCAACTGGTCAGATAGATTTCTTAGCTGCGGTGGGGAAAATCCATCCTGCAGGCAGAAGTCTTCATCTAGCTGTTTGTTCATCTTGATCATTTGCTATGCAGAGATTAATTGGAGTAAAAGATCACCCTTCACGTCAGTTGCAGGAAGACAGCTAAAGCTAAGGCTCTCTGCCCAACCCCACTAAGCACAGTGATGATATAACATCTGTGAATTTATGTGATGCACAAATTAACATGGAGGAATATTAAATATATATATATGCATATACATATTGAAAATAGTATTTTTTTTCCTGTTTCCAATAGGTCCTTCCCTTTTGAGATGTTGAAATGTTAGCCGTCTTTTCTCTTTTCTGTATCAGAGATGTTCAACGTGCAATACAAGCAGGGAGATAGATTTCACAAGCAATATCAACATACTATACTATTAATGTAAAATCTTTATACTACAAATCGCGTGCAATAGAATCTGCATTTCAAAACAGCAGAGAGTATGTGGGATAAAAGACACGGGTTAACCTCAGGCTTTTAGAAGTATTCCCATCTGCTCGTTGTTCCGAGCACATGTTGTTGGCACGGTGTGGAGGGAGAGGGGGAGTAAGCGCAGAGATAAGCGCTTCCCACCGAGGCAGAGGAACGAAAAGGCAGGAGGAGGCGGAGGGAAGTGAAGACAAGATTCGTGCTCCAGGGAGTTGCAGAGCATGATGATGGTTTTATCTGCGGTAGGAGGAATAGGTGGCACTGTCAGTGCTGGAGTCCTGCAGAGCTGGGGAAGGAGGCAGAAAGCCTGGATCCAAACGCTCCTCTCGGGCACCAGTGTGGGTCTCTTTGGCTGGGTCTTCTTCCGTGCAGCACATCTGTCTGGCAGTAACACACTCTGCAAGCACTGAGTCTTGCCAACAAACCCATAGGGGCCAAGTAGCTTCTGCAGCTTGCTTTATAAGTCTCGAGCGGCTTGGCTCTTACTGTGCGGGGAGGCTTGCCCGGGAATATCTGCAGAAGCTTAGGGCTACATAGAAGTGTTGGTGGCCTGTAAGGTTTGCTCATGCCATCCCAATTCATGGATGCTTGCACATGCTTTTCACTGGAGCCTTGCTCTGCACACTGCTCTGACTGTCTCCTGCTCCAAGAACAAGCCAGAGCTGCGTGATGGAGGGTTATGTTATTGATGGGGCAGCAGCTTTTTTCCATTTCAGACGAAAGGTGTTGGTGAAGGCTGGTGGAGATCAGAGGAAAAAAAAATGGCTTTCAAGAAACAAACTCTGTGCCTGTCTTTGCAAAGGGGTTTGTGTCATTTTTAACAAAACTCTTTGCAGATGATCACCACTTTTATCGTCTTTGTTTTTCTGGGCACCAGCGTTGGTACTCTGGGGCCTGATGTACAGAAACGGTCCGTGTTAACAGCTGTTGAGAGCTGTGCTTTGAACGAATGAAGTGCTGTAATAATTGCGAAGACTATGGAAAAGCTGTCAGTATCTCAAGCTGGGCCTCCTGATAATGGAGGCTAGATCACTTTGGCTTTATTCTGCCTGTGCCTATGTTCCCCACCGATAAAATGGTGTGAATGATACCTCCCTACCTCAAAGGGGTCTGATAAAGATGAGTTCATTTGGTGTTAGAGTTTTTGTGATGATTTGATGGTGATCAATACTGATGATCTCCAAAAGCAAAACAAGAATATATTTCCTGTTAAGTGTACTGAATAGATACGTATGCAGTGTTTGAAAGGTATGCATAGATAAGGCTTGGACTGCATACAGAACGATGAATGAAAAAGAAACCCATATGCTAGAGGAGGAGGGAAAGTTGTAAGAGATTGAGCAATTTAGCTCTCTATGCATGTGTCTGAAGCACAGAACTGAGGTTACTCAGATAATCCTTAGTTCTGGCACTTCCTGACCTTTAATTGCACGGTTTTCCAACTTTTTTTCTCTGCTGTTTTGTATGAAGCTATATTGGCATACTATTCAATAACACCAGGTTGTTCAATAGATTTGGGTTTTCAGTCCAGAATGGAGTCTCACAAGCCTTGCAAGAACTCCACCTCCAACTCCCTCTCTGAGAAGGAGGAAAGAGCAAAGTCTAACGGCGAGGAGGATGAGAGGAACTGTGTAAGATGTGTTACAGTAGGGTTGGCAAGGACCTATGGAGAACATCGGATGTGTTTGGTCACCCGTTCAGAGTTGGGACTAGCTAAACCCGCCCTGTTCCTCACACTGATTTTCAGTCAGGCTGGTGCTCAGTAGTCTGCTGAAAGTTACAAAGGAGTACCTGACTCTAAACTTAAATTTGCAGGCATGAGGGTGCCTCTAACAGTACGTTTCAGGGTCCACACAGCAAAAAGCATCTATATTTTTCCCAAGTTGAACAACCTGGGAAAAATCTGTTCTTTTAAATCTCCAGTGATTGATACTCCCCAGCCTCCCTCCACAAGCTGCTTCAGTGGTACACCCTGCTTACTCTCAGATACTTTTCCTGCTGTCCAGCACATGTGCCCTTTGCTTTCATTTAATTCTATCACTTTTTGCCTTAGAGGCCATGCTCCTGAGAGGAGTTATGGAAACAGTTTGTTCTTTTCATTGCTGCAGCTCTCTTACATAATTAAAGACCATTGTCAGGTCTCTTCTGCATCCTTGTCTAAGCAAATACAAAGCCTTCCACTAAGGGTAATTTTTAGCCCATGTCCTGTTCTTGCTGCTTTCTGATGAGTCTGTCTTTTTCATGAATCCAGACTTACAGAATCCAAAACCAGGACAGGTATTTGCTCTGCAATCTTACCAGCTTCGAGTGGAAGGATTGCAAATGAGACAAGGTTTTGTACACCCAGTATGCTGGGTTTTTGCAACAGCGTACATGCTGCCTCCAGACCAGTTTGTAACTCTGTGTCCTCCCAGGTCCTCTTTGGTAGAGCCACTACCAGGGCAGTCCTTTCTCACTGTCTGTCTGTACTGTAGTTCTTGCACTTCTCTAATAGTTTTAGAAAAATCAGACTATTAAAATACCAGAGCAAACATTTTTCACAAAGCTTTGTGACAGAAATCTTTTCCGTACATGGTGGAGTGGCAGAACACCATCTATCATCCATTCCTCTGCTTATTTCTGAATTGGACATGGAAAAAATAGCCCATCAACAGGCATTCTCCTAAATATTAAATATCCTCCTAAATACTAAATATTATGACACTCTCTCCATCTTCACCATAGAAGCAGTAACTCTAGCACTTACAAGATACCTGTTTAAACACAAATGTAGAGAATGTATCTAGTGACAATATAAGCTCCCTATGCCAATTTATTTGGAAATATCAGCTTTCCCTTGCATAGTCACCAAAATATTTACATGAACTTCGCTAGCTTTAACTATGATTTTGTTGAATTGGCCCTCCTCTCTGTTCATTCTGCCTCTCCCATTTCCTCTCTACCATTGTCATTCATGCTCATGCTCCATCTTTCCCTCCTCTAACATCTAATGGGCTTTCTGATTTTCTGCAGCATTAGGTCAGCACTGCTGTTACTCATCACTTACAAATTTGATCTCAAAGCAAAAGTGGACAGCACTTGAATTGCAGTTTTTCACAGTCTTGCCTGCAGTAAAACACTTGGCAGAGGAAGAGCTTGTTCTTCTTTGAACAAGAGTCAGAGGATCAGGTCATTATGGGGACCTGGAAAAAAAAAAATCCCCAAGTGAGCAAGACACTTTGTGTTGGCATTCAGTCCTGGGTGGCTCAACCTTCCACAGGGATGTCCCTCCTTCCTCCAGAAAAGTTTTAAGCTCTTCTATTGACTTCCTGGGTGGCGAGCTATATGTTATGCTGCTCAGAAAGCCCTTCAGCTACCTTGTCTTAACATGATTGTGCACCATCTCCTTCCCAGCTGTGCTGCAAGTGGTGCCCACACAACCGTGCCAGGTAACTGCCTGAAGAACCCTGTTTTAGGTTTTTTTTCCAACTCCCAGAATCTTTGGCCATGCTGAAAGTTAATTGGATTTTTCTTAGTAACATTTTTAGTGCAAGGAGATCTGAGAGTTTTGTGTAGATATAACTGTAGAGAAGTTCCTTCTGTTCCATGCAGGTTCTCACGCTGCTTTATAATCGCTCAACACGTATATCCAAGCGCCTTCCAGAAGTGCATTTAAGCATATGACTAACATCTGTCAAGCAGCAGTTGGTCTTTCTTCCCTCCTCTTCCTCAGGGAAGGGCTGAATGTGCCAATGCAGTCCTGGTATTTTTAACATAAATTAATTATCCCTGCTGTTCTACGTTAACGCTGTAAAGGGTGAGCTGAAGCATGTCATGTGCTGGCAGTGGCAGACCCCGACAGCCTCACAGCATGGGAGCAAACTACAGGGCTCGCAGGGGGCCAGGTCTGACTTTTACATCACTCCCCCTGCTTCCTTCGGTAACTGGTGTTGAGCAGAAGCTGTTTTGTCCCTGGAAGTTCCCCTTCAACCACTGCTGCTTTGCAAATTGTCATTTTTGATTTGAGCATAGCACAGAGGAGTTTGCTGTGCTGCTGCATGGTTGGGAACTACCTGATGCAATAAGACCATCTCTCCTCTGAGAAGCTTGCAGGGGGAATCTAAGGCCAGAGACAGCATGTCGGTTCAGGCAGAGGAGAGGTGACGGAGCAGTACTCTGGATTAAATGAAACTCAGTGTGCAGTCAACAGATGTATTTCTCTTTGGGATGCATTCACAATAGCTGCTTTTTCTTTTCTTCTGGGTTTTTGAACACTCCCAAGATCTTTATAGTGCTGGTCGGAACAGATATTTGCAAGGGAACTGAGCTGCCTCTGAGGACAGTCACTTCGCTGAGACACCAGTAAACTCTGAAAAGAGTTTGAAAACTGTAACATTGTGCTGGTGCCACTTTTAAAAGAGTTTTTTCCCAGCTAGGTCTCGCAGCAGGGATGAGCAGAGGCTATTGATAGCCAAGAACAGAGGGCAAGGCTTTGATTCAGTTCTTTGCAGCAGTATTTACCCTAGATCCTATAACTCAATTAATGCATGGCAAATGCCTTTCTTCTCTCTTCACCTTTCATGGCAGGTGCAGGATTATACTAGTGTGCCTGTGTCTATGAGTTAGTCCTCCAATATGCCAAGGATTTTGGGGCAGACTTCTGTGTTTCTCTGAGCTCTGATGCTTTCGCAAATTCACAACAGTAAATACAAGGGGAAGAACTAAACCCAAGGGCCAGTCCTAAAAGTTTGTTTGACTAAACCACTTATGCATTTCTAGCTTCTAAAACCTCTCTGGCAAGGGGATTTTGTCAGCTGGTGTCAATTTAACATGTCCATCTCCCGTTCCACCCCTAATCATCACAATTATTTTACTTTCAAGTCTGTTAAAGCTGTAGCATGTTTCTTGTTGATGGGATCCCTTTCTTTTCTGATATATAAAAAGTTTTGTTGGACCCTTCCCAGGGTTGTGTGCATATCACTGTAGTTAGTGGTGAAGTTTTCTGATTTAGACATTTTTAATAGTCCTCCCCATCCTGGTAAAATTAGGGAAAGAGTTTTTTGGCTCAAACACTTACTTATAAAGCTAAGAATAGGCACCATGTTTCACGAGGTGAACCAAACCTCCTGCTTCTTATCTCAGAGCATATCCTTTAAACTGGCTTCTTATTTCTTGCTCGGTCTGGTTGCAAATGTCAAGTTCACAAAAGCAGTGTGGGTAGGAACCCCTACAGATGTTTATATTGCTCTATGTATAGGTACATTTTTCTCTTGCTTTGCTTGCAGGGCCTCATCCTGGTTGTGCTGTTCCTTTCCTCAGTTTGACCACTGAGAGTATTTATCAGTCCAGTTCATGTCTCATGGGCAGCCTGGCTCAAGAGCCCTAAATCAGGCTTTTCCTCAGAAGTTTGCCACCTGTTTTTTAAGCCGTTGCTTATGAACCTCTCTGAAAATGTGCAAAGCCGAGATGTGCCTCGATTCCCTCGATCCCCATGTGTTTGCTTATTGCTGCAGCCAATGTAGAACAAAAAGACACATAGCTGGTTATATTTTTCCCAGGCAGTCTTCCTCTGTGTCTGTTTTGGTATGTTTTGGCCTTAACCATTCCAGGGACCAAAGGCATCTTGTTCTGTGGCTCTCATCTGCTTCTGCAGCCATTGCATGGACAGTGGGGCTCGCCACAACTTGTTGCTGTGCCTGGATCCGTTGTTACATGTGACCTTAGTTTTGTTTCTTTGAACACAGAAGTAAGTTTCAGTCTGGAAGTATGTGTCTTGAGCTAAACATTGCCAGGATTTCATCCTCCCCGGGACATTTAAAGTGGTCACAGAATAATTAGAGTCGCTTTTTCATGCATGCGTAACAACAGCAAGGCGCTTCCACATCACTGTGAGAATCAAGGGTTTGATGTGGGTTAGTAAATTCAGGTATGTGGGATGAGCATACCCACAGCAAAGTAGCTACAAAGGTGTTAAGATAAGACCTGTGCCTCTGGCAAGTCTCCTGTCTACTCTCTTACAGTCCTGTGCTGTCTCTAGTTGCTGTGGTGGGTGACAATGCAGGGAGCCACCAGGACCACATGTATTGCATGTCACAGGATAACTAAAAAAGGAAGGTATAATCAGCTTTATCCTGGATACCACAGGACCCAACTATTTTAGCCTTCCTTTTCTACCTTGTGGGACTTCTAACACTTGCCTGGTGCTCAAGTAAGGCAGTCACTTTGGAGAGTGTACAGACATTTCTAACCTGGGATTGGCAAGTGCCAGCATGCAGTCTGCATGTAAGATTACTGCATCCTGGTCCCCATGCTCAGTAACTGCATTTTGTGCTTATGCCAGCACAGTTATCCCTCAGCACTGTTGGGGGTGACCCTGAGTTCCTTGTAGCTATCTGACTGAAAAAAAAAAAAAAAAGAAGAAAAAAAGAAGAGGGAGGTGCTGGAGTCACCTGATGAACATTTTCATAGATGCTGCCGGCTTTTAACTGTGGGTTATCTTGGTGAAGGCAGATTTACAGAGA